ATTTATCACTGCTGTCTATGGGAATTTATTTGTAGTGGTGCACCCCTGAGGCATTTTGTTTCGTGGTCTGTTTGTTTCTTGAGGGGCCGAGGGAGCGCATGCGTGATGACGTCATAGTAGGGTGGCGTGATGTCGTTGTTTGGAGCAGCGGCTAGGCTGGACTGTTGCCGCAAAAGCGCTCATAGGACAAGTTTTGTAACACGCTCCCTTTCAAAATGCATGTTCGTGTATTCCACAGGAACTTTGTGTGTGGCACGTACAGCGGCCATGCAGACAATAATAGTATGTCATGATGACATTTCCAGAGCCGGCACAGTAGATAGCTATGGCCCATGTACGCTCGTGGGAAACACAAAACTGGGGCATTTTGTCTTTCCCCAGTGTCAGGTATCTTTTCAACAGAGGACATTCATTCAAATGGGATGAAAAAGCCTTGGCTACACGTCCAATTTGTTTGGCCTATAAACAGGAGAGTTAAAGAAAACTGAATGCATGAAAGGGTTAAATGCTGAGTGGGTTGAACGAAAAAGGTTGACTTTTCTCTGAAAAATTTTCGAGGGTATGAATATTAAATTGAATTTATCCCCCAAAAATATATCGCTGAATGATATCTCCCTAATCATTTTATTGAAAAACGAAAAGGTGTCTGGACTCATTTCAAGATACTCCCAAATGTCTTTTACGACATCTCCAAGCTGAGTTCAAAATTAATCCCTAAATTCATCATTTCATCCGAAAATCGTGAAGATGTCTCCACTTGTTCAGAACTACATGTAGGTCATAGAGCTATGATCTAGGCACATCTCTTTATGTTATGTAGCGGCATCACTATTATTCACACGAGTGCGAGAGGAACGGAGAATGTCACACTGTTTCCTGCAATAGATCGACCACTCTTAATCGGAAATACAAGTTTGTCTGAAGATGTTACCCTTGCGTGCGTGTGCCAATAAAAAATAATGTCATACATGTAGTTTGGTCGAGAACGTGTGCTATATGAGACGCACCCCAAAATGGGAGGGTACTAATGTAACCGGCGCTGAAAGCCATTTATTTCCATACGTTTAAATTTCCAACTTTTCCATTTACGTACTCAAAAACTGTTCCTCTGCGCTATAAAAAGTTTTCAGAACAAAAGCAATACAAATTAAAATGTCGTGTGTAGAGAAAAACTGGCATGAATTTCAACAGAAATATCTTAACAATTTGCCCGCCTTTGTTGCGCTTTATGTTGTGACATTATTCCGCAACGCGATCCATGATACAGCAGTGAACGACAATAAACAAATGGGATATTTGGCAACCCGCGTGACAAACAGCATTTTTCCGAATAATTATTAGAAAACCTGATTCAAAACGCGTGAAAGACATTACTTTACAAATTCATTTAGACTCAGCGCGTAGACATAGGCCGGGTCTATATGCACTTAATTATCAATCCTTTTTTCTGCAGCCAGTTTCCACAGTCACGGTACCAGCTGGATATCGAGCTCCAAGCACGGAGAAGTGAACTCAAACTGTGTTTTCTTACGACGAAGAACCGCCAAGCGTATGACGGAAAATAATCAGAACCACTGTTACCCGGGTGATTTGATAAATGCAAGCTTGCAGATAACCTGTTTAAAGACAAAATGTTCAGCTATCAAAGTGTCAACATCGATGCGTTTCAGAGAATTTTCCCTGGGACTGTCATCTGATTCTGTTCTGTCTACCTCTCATTGAGCGAAACGCACAAGGTGCATCGTTCCCGCGAGATTTAATTGTCTGACTGATCACATTTTGTTTCGATTGAATGTCTGCATGTCATGATTGGCTAATAATACCGAGGCATATTATGTACATACCTCTCGTGAAACATGTATGTGTGCAATGTACACATTGTCATCCGATGATTCCAACAAACAGTTCCCACCTTCTCTTAATCTTTAACCAGTTTTCCATGTAGTTAGTTAATTATCAAAGGGCCGTCAGTCGTTTGTCATCTGTCCAGCAGGCTTCGACCACAAATCAGTATCTGGTATTTGATGACTCGCATGCTTCCATGAACGAACACAGAATCCAGCGATAGTGCGCGTTTGTGTCCAGAACGTGTTACATATTGAACTCGTTCGGTATATAGACGAGAGGAGCTGTCACATCGATTACAATGTGCATCGTGAAATTCCGGCGAGTAACCGATCCCGATTCCCTTTTTTCCCTTTGGTCGCATGCTTCATGATTACACTGCACTGACATCAAACCCACACGATCAAATATTTCATGACTCGTCTCGGTTCCAAGGTAATATTGGAAGTCAAAAAGGATTTGGCGCGTGTAATTGCCAGTAAGCACCCCTCTGCAATTCTTTTCAAACACTAGCAGAACAACACCACGCCTACTGCAGGAGGGCCAAGGAGAAATCGGGCTTGTTTTGCACACAGCGACACTCAGTGATAAAATGGACGCGTTAGTATGCAAAGTGCGAACACTGTCTCTGGAATGAACGCTACCGACGCATCGCCGACGGAAAGTAGGGAGGACCAACCACTGGGCACAGGGCAAATCGCCATAGCCATCACTAGCAGTGTCGTCTGCCTGATCACCGTGATGGGCAACCTGGTTGTACTCGGTGGCTTTTGCACTGACCGAAGACTGCGCACCTACGTTAACTACTACATCGTGGGCCTGTCCCTCGCTGACCTGGTTGCTGGAGTCTTTACCATGCCCCTGTACACTGTCTACTGGGTGCTGGGCCACTGGCCATTCAGTGCCGCGCTGTGCGACGCCTACCTATACCTGAACCACGTCTTCATCCACATCTCCGTGTTGGGTATCTTGGTCCTAGCAATCGACCGGTACCAGGCTGTCTACCACCCTCTGCAGCACCTTCGCAGGCGCACACCCCGTCACGCTACCTTCATGATCTCCGTGTCCTACGTCGTCCCCTTCCTACTCTGGCTGCCCTGGTGTCTGCTCTGGCCCTACCTGGTGGGAACCCGCAACATTGATCCTGGGTACTGCTATCCTCAATACGTGGCGGACAGTCTGGCCTTCTCCATCTTGGCGCCTGTCTGCTTCTTCTGGATCCCCGTCCCTATCACATCCGTGTTGTACTGGCGCATCTATCGCGTCATCGGTCATTCAAAACATAAGGGACCCGTGATGATAAGCGATTTAGGTAGGCCACCATCAGGGAGAGACGGCACTCCAGCCGCCAACCAATCGTCTCCTCTGAGTCTTGAGAAAAGTGATGAACCTACCACCAGCAACACAAGTGTACACCATTCTGCACACGAAAACCCCGCTTTTGAAACCCCCATGGAGCCGGACAGCGTCATCCTCAACAACCCCGTTACCCCGACGGGGCATTGCTCGGTCGGTTTCGAGACTACACCAGCCATCTACAGCATCACACACTCCCCAGACCACACACCAACTGCCCACCGAGTCCTGAACGAGTTAACCGGCTTGACCATTGAGGGCAAGCCGCTCGAGCGTGACTGTACCGGAGAGAACCACCGCGCCACCCGCACCCTAACACTCATCCTGGTTAGTTTGCTCATCTCTTCAGTGCCCTGGTCTGTTTTCGTTATCATCTACTCCATCTGCCCAAACTGTATCCCTCTTGTTCTCTACCAGGTACGTGTTTTGTAGAGAGTATTCGTAACAAACCTTATTTAAGGGCCAGGGTCTTAAGATTTAGGGAATCAGGGTACTTCATGGGCTTTTTAAACCTCAGGGTTGATCAGTTGAGACCCTGCGAAATCTGGCCCACCAAACTGTTACCAAACTTTCCCATTTGAAATTTGGGGAGCATTGCCAAGCCGCTCCTGTAGCAAGCATATTGAATCGGATTCTGAGAACCCGCAGCGAGAACAAAACCCGAGTGACAGAACTGCGAATATTGCAGGGCTTCTTGGAAGGCATGAAACGGGTGGGAGCAAGGTTAAACAAAATCACTTCAATACCTTATACTTTACTCTTTTGAGTGCTTGGAGTACCTCTCTGGAATGGCTGGGTCACAACAGTTTCTGGAGTGTATTTATTAATTACGAAACTTGATGCAAACTGCGGACCGTGATACAGAATATTGTTTACGAAAGTGGATGTTCTCGCGCCAACTCAAAATGACCCGCCTTATTTTACACAAGAAAGTGTACATGCACCCGAGACAAAACCCAAGACCCAGAACCTCAAATTCCGGTATTTATTATTTTGGGGCTATGAAAATAACTGCAAATGTGTCTTTTTAAGTAGGCAATTCAACCAATTCCAGCCTAACACTTCTCATTTTTTTGTTAAAAAATTGAGAATTGTTGAGAATCATTTGCACGAGTAGTTACATTTTAAAATGGAAGGTAGATTTGAAATCAGTAGGCCCTAAATTATCACGGCGTGTTCAAACTTCAAACTGAGCGAGTGTTTCTGATTACAAATGAATAAGGTTAATGAAAAACCGATTAGCTGGCAGATGTTCTAGGATCGCGTGATAATAGTTTAAAATCGATCGATCTTATTTGATGTAATTCTTCATGAGCAAACGAAATTGATTTTTATAACTGAAACAACAAGACGAATTGTTGGTCCGGATTCAAAGTACATTTTGCGTCCGTTACCGTCAACCACACTTCAGGCACAACTGAAAAACACTTCATGGCTGCATTTTAATTAAAACGAATCAGAACGATAGCGAATCGGGTACTCTTTGAACTTAACAACTGATTTAGAAACAAAATTAGAAAGGCGCGGAGCATAAGAGTGAAAGTTTAATACAGCATGGTTAAAAACTAACTAAGGCTACACCGGACGTTGCTAGCATCTTTGCTCTTCAACAACACCAATCAAAACGGACAACCGAGGAATGTTTACCTACAATTCAGCCTCCGAGGCCATCATTGCGAAGTTTTTCTCGGGCAACTTCAGATTACTCAGCTTTTCACAAGCTTGAATCCTTTGACATGTTCCCTGTGCACTTGTTTTTCAGGGTTGAGGAATGGTACCTACAACAGAGTGTAAACATTTTCTCGGTACCTGTATTTTCTAGGTTGATATTGTGGTGACTGATTGGTGTGTGAGCACGTGACGACTGTGAAGTTTGAGTGGCATTATCATGGTTTCTTACTCGTCATTTTTGATAATATTTAAACAACAGTGTGATCGACTACACTACCCAGTGCTTTATAGAGAGAGCACTCAGAGCAGCGACACCATTGTCTCGACTGTTTGAGCCAAACTGCTGGATTAGGCCTATGCGCCTGTACACACGGACAATTAGCACACAATTAATAGCTGCATGCTGTACTCCACACATAATGAACAGCCATTTGGGTTCCAAAATGTAACGTTGGCGCTACCCTCTCTATAAACTTCTCTGACAACTGAAGTATAACTGTTTGTCAAAATTACTGAACGCTCAGTCGTCCGTGGGTAAATTCAAATCTGCCTAAGGGAATATTCTCATCATCTCCTATTATATACGTAACATAACTTTCTTCTATCGTTTACTGGCATTTGTTGTGTTGTTTGTTTTAATTGAATGCTTGCTAATCTTTTGTTGTCATCATGCTTCAGGTATCATTTGTCGGGGCTCGCTTTCGTTAGTCATGCTTAAGTTAAAATCCGTATTCATTATGTTTTAAGTTTTGCCTGTCTTAAGCAAAAGCTTGCACCGAACCAAGAAGTACAGACCTTTCCCCGTGATGTCACAATCGTGCCGGACCGCGATGTGTTGTGATGCTAATGTGCATAGTGTTGTTATGGTAATCTACTTATTCAAGATAAACTATGGTTGAAGCTGCCCGTACTAAATGTGATCACCGTGGCCACGGCCGCTGTCCACACGTACAGTACGTGGTGGTATTGTTTACATTTAGCGCAATCCAGTGATGTGTGAACAAGGTTTAGAGACAGTGGCTTTAGTATGGGGAATTCAGATTATGTTCACGTGGACTGAAAGAACTCGATGAACCAGATTTTATTCAAATTTAACTCTCTAAAGAATTATTGCACCCTCAGATTTAAGCAAAAACTGTGCTCTTGACTGAGCTGAATATTCGAAAAACGGCGGTTCGTTACCTAGCAACAGTTTCCCTTCTAGCAGACACCACTGGCTAGCATTTTGTACTTTGGTGGTGAATGCATGCGGTTTCTCGCTTATTTAGTGTAAAAAAGTTCGCGGACTGCATGCGATCCTTCCAATGTCGCTCCAACTCCAAATGATAATGGCGCTGGAAACCAAACGGTCGGCCCAGCCTTTCTTATTTTCAATGTAAAGACAACCCTTACAGTATGTCTCTAGTCCACAGAATGCAAACCAACTTGTATAGTGATTAATCATAGGGAGGGAACGAAGTTGATTCTGTACTATTTTTAATTAAAAAGAGCAACGTTGAAGTAACTGAAAGAATATGCATAATCGTACTTTGCACTGATCGCAGATTTCACTTTTGTCCCCGTTCTACTTCCACTAGACGAGCGTGTACTTAGCTCACATGAACAGCACCGTCAATCCGTTTTGTTACGGCGTGGCTAACCCGCTTTATCTTGACGTCCTCAAGAGGCCAGTCTGCTGCTCGAAAGGAAGGACGACGGTACCGAGGGATGGCCACTGTTCCAGGCGGCCGTACACCATTGGCGTCCAGCATAGCACCTTCTTGTAAATACAAACTAACGAAAGATCATCACAGAGGATAGCGGCATTAGCAGCCTGAAGACGTATCCGGAGTTGGTAAACTTTATAGGCCAGCTACCGTGACATTCTTACCTCCGAAAAAAATGAAGCAAATCTTACTTAATAAAATACTTCATTTAGAATTCCCCAATGGATTCTCTTCAAAGATACCCCTGTGTGCGGAAGGGTGCAACAAGATTGTCATCATAGCATCACTTTGGCCACGCGTTCAGCTAGTCTCCTTCTCTAGATCCTGGATCTCTAGAATTGAGGGAATCATTTCATTCACTGCTAAAATCCGAAAGGGACCCGATGCTGCGAACAATTTAAATATTTGTTCAGCCATAGGCCTACCATTAAAATGTCCGTGACGGGTCGTTTTTTTAATGTGCAGTTTGAGGAAACGGCTTAAAGGGGCCCAAGTATACTGTTTTTGACGATTTATTCTGCAGAATGAAGACAAACATGTCCATGTATGTTGATAGTATTCACACAAGGATGGTGATCATACTATAATAAACCTTCAACATACACACGCCCGTAACTGGGGGGGGGTGCGTCCGCTCTTGAGTTTGAGCTTTATTATAGTTGAACATTGTGCGAAAAAAGTCAAGCAATTCGGTATTTTTTGCCTCCACAAATCCCTCTTCACGAGTTTACTTGTAGCCACCCTAAAACAACTGGTACGAGCTCATGGACTCTACTGTTTTTCAAAATAAAAGCAAACGATCTATGCTTGGTCCACTTTGTTGAGGATTCACCCCCCCCAAGTCCTAGTTTTGGACCTGATAATAGTAGATAATGTAAGATAATATATAGTAGATAATGTGCGCGTTATTTAACAAACTAGCCAGAAATGTTGTAGGATTTAGATATTATATTGGTTTAATAATAAATAAAGAATGGTTTGATACTAATAGCTGTGTCCGACAAAAATATCATGCAAATAAATCCATACGTCATATTGTGGGGTACCTGGCGTTTTACGTTTCACACGACTAGGGTCTGAACATCTTCGAAATCCACGTTAATTATTAAAATGCCAGAATATCTACAAGCACAAGCCTGATTTTCTTCGGATGAATTGATATTTATGAATACGTAGGCCTAATTTAAGTAAGTTACAGAAAACGAAAATAAGAAAAGCAGTCATTACCTCAGAATGAAGACAAGCGTGTGTGGACAGTCTTCATACAAGGACGGTAATGACGAAGCCCGCGGAAAATAAAAATAATAGCCTTACAAACTTGGGTGAGGGCGCTACACAAAACTGTACAAAGGAATTAATGGAGGCACTGAACTAGCTGTCATATACACTTGTCACATTTCTGTGCCGCAAAGTACGCGATTTCCCCCTCCCCATGAGCACCGACTCAGCCGGTCGAAGAAATATGCCATCGAATAGTGGATTGAATAAATCTAGCCCTGTCAACATTGCAGCAGTATACATGTACATGTACAATGTGTACATTTACTTGACCACGTTTGCACAGTGCTCAATAGACTGCAGTTGATTAAACTTTGTTTGATCGCAGATGGCGTACGGAGGTATATAAGAGCCACTTTCAAAAACCTTTTTTCGAGATACTATCTCGCCGCGGCGAGTTAAATTGTTGAATGTGTATCTCGCCGCAGCAAGTTATAAGACCTTGCCGCGGCATCAAATTGATATTCCGCCGCAGCGAATATTTCAATTGTTTCATAAGTCCTATTCAGTGCACTGTTTTCGAACGTATCTTTAGGATGAAATGCATTTAGATTTTGGTTTTAGATTGCTAATTGGAACAAAAGGGGATGTTACACTTCATCCAAGCTTGATTTCCAACGCAAGGAAACAAAAGAAATCATTTTTGGTTATGAATTTCCATATCCACAATGCGGAAGACTACTTCTGACTCCCTAGTAGACTGCCGCGGAGATGACAGTAACTCGCCGCGGCGAGATAGTAACTCGAACAAAAATTGCAAGTGGCCCTTATACGCTTCCGTACTTCTGCAGTGAAGCGCTTATGTTGGGTAAGAAAAAATGGCGTCTGGATTCAGGGGGACCTGAGATAGAGTACGCATCCTGCTTGAATCCACATTTTTCCCTATTGCAAAAATTGGAATTCCAGTATCGTGTAAGCCACAGTTTCTTGGTGGAAATTACCAGTCGCTGTTTGCCTCAAATCATTTAAAAGAACCAGTAAATATAACCATATTTTCTTAGAGTAGGTTCCAATTTATAATTGATTTTCTCGTTAAAAATCGGACAATAGTACTTCCCACTAATGTTTTTCGAATATTGTCTGGATGTAGAATTCGCACTATTGTTAGTTTCTTTTGACAGGGAGTAATGTATAATTATTACAGCATCAAAAAAGCACCCCCTTGCGTACGTTGATGAAAGTATTTCTTTATGAGAATTGAAAACGACACCAGCTTCTTTTCACTTTCAATGACAGTAAGTATTTTATCTTATTAGTATTGTAACAAACAACACGTGAAATAAATTTGAACAGAATATCCAATGCGGGTTTCCTTTGAGGCATTATAATTAACGTTGAAGAATGGCAGACACAAATTGGAGGGGTCTATTTGGTAAAATCGTTTGCGCTTGCTCAAAATTTACCCATTTGAAATATCGCCCCTATATTTTATAATTGTTTGCTATAAATCGTACATCTGTATTTTGTTCGGGCAAAGATTACATTGCTTTTCTTAACGTGTGGTGAAGCCATTAACATTTAGTGCACGAACTTTCTGTACAAAGTCCGATACCTAAGACTGCTACCCTTGGCCTGGACTGATTAGATATCTATTCAATAATGTTACATGTACAAGGCAATTGCCTTTGTCATGCTACAGCACACATGGAACGAAGTTCGGAGGTGGTATCAACCATTTAATGACATAAATAAGGGCGGCAGCTGAATTCACAGTTTGCTTTTGGCAATCAGGACAAGCAGGATTTGAGACCCAGCAAATTTCGTCTCGATCAATTTGGTTACTTCAGGGAAAATAAGAAAATGGCGCCGAAGGTGGTCTTGATAACCGGCTGCTCTTGCGGATTGGGTCTTGCTGAGGCAGTACTTCTCAGCACACGATTTAAGCACGACTTTAAGGTAACTCATGCGGTTTCCCCCCACCTTTCTATATATTTGAGGCTTATGGATAGACCTTTTTCTCAGGGAAGCCATTTTTGATCGCTTTCCCGAAATCGTTTTAATGCAATTATCTATCGAATGGTTTGGTCTTCAAGCCTTACTTACTCTGTTTGTTTAATATTGCTTCAAATGTTGAGATATAATAAATTACACATTTTATATTGTGCATTATCGTAAACAAAATTTTTTCATAAACCTTTCTTTCATTGCCTACATTTTTTGTTCTTGGGTTCACATATTAAAACACTTTACCTCGCTTTCAATTCGCCATGGCCGACTTATGAATAATGTCAGTTTAAGGGACTTAACACTTGCTACTAAACGCCTGAGCATTTACAATCTAATGACGTGAGAAGAGGTAATGACATGTTATTCTTTCATTTATCTCTTTAGAATTCAAAAGGATAGATTTACGTTATGCCGAAAGGAATACTTTTCTTTTGATTTCAATGCAGGTTTACGCCACTGTTTTGAAGCTGTCCGATAAAGGTGACCTCGAAGCAGCTGCCGGCGACGCAATCAACAAGAATCTATTCATCCGAGAGGTCGATGTCACCAAGACAGAAACTATCAAGGCATTGGTTGACGAAATCATTAGGGACAATGGGAGAATCGATGTTGTTGGTGAGAACACTAGTTCAGGGTGTCAGGGACGAAGGTTTACATACACTTGACTTGTTCATGTATACATTTTTAGACTTTTGGATACCATTTATTTTTACAACTTGATATAGTGGTTTATTTATGTTAATGAGACTAAGGTAATGTGCTGGTTTCAGTTATGCGAGCAGAATGTTGCCCGAACCCAGCCTCAATGTTAAAAATGGTAAGTGTCACAGGTTAAAATGCTAGCCAGAAAACGTATACCCCTGTTCATCATAAAACCATTTTCATTTAAATAACTTTATTATTATTCAGTGGGCTTGCAACCAATCCTCGCGGCTAACGTCAATCTATAGGCCTACAACATAATGACGTAATGCAGTGTTTACCGCGGTGCATTGTGGGTGAAAGGTGGGGATGTTGCAGGAACGCATCGACTTGACGGTTTTGTGTAACGAATACTATATGGCGTGTATCGACCTGACACGAAAAAAAATTTAAAAATAAAAAATACCAAATTATCGTCCGAATGGTCCATGTGAACTGCTGTGTTCCATTGTGTTTATCAAGCACTCAACGAACGCCACAGCTGCGTTTTTTAACTTCCACGGGACCGCAAAAGGCGAGAGATTTGAATAAGTCTCGTGAGAAACAAAACCACTAAAACGAAGTCCAACTGGACCTCTGTATGCAGTCTACATTTTGTAGGTGGAGACAAACGTACGGTGTACCGGATCCAGCGATTTTTCCGTGGAAAAGTGAGTGGGAGGAGGCAGTTCCCGGCAAGATGAACAAAGAAGAAGCTTTCCTGCTACTGCAAACCTAAAACCACTGCCGATCTTGCAGCCAAAACAAGCTTCAAGTTCGAGTTCAATATGCAAGCGGGGGCGAACAACTAGGACCAGTACAAAAGCGGGCTTGTCTTCCGACATGCCCGAGTGTATGCAGGTAGACCCTCTGCATGCTTGGGCTGGCATGCTAAGTTAAGTTCATCAGCGTTCACAGATGAAATGGCAAAATAGGCAAAGATTTCCACAAGAAGTTATAGTTTTGCTCTTTTGTACCAACAAAATCATGAGAAAGAGTTTCATTAATGAAGTTCCCAAATCATGTCTGAAGAGAAAGGCAGCTTCTTCGTTGTTCATTTTGCCGGGAAACAACCTCCTCCCACTCACTTGGAAAATCGTTGGATCCGGTACATTGTACGCGCAAGTTTTGTCTCCGCCTACAAAATGTAGACTGCATACAGAGGTCCACTTGGAATTCATTTTGATGGCTATTTTTCTCACGGAAATCTATTGCTCTGGCGTTTGTTGAGTGCTTGATAAACACAGTGGATCACAGCAGTTCACACAGACCATTTCGGCAAATCGGGGAATTTTAGTTTGTTTTTTTTCTTTTTTCGTATCAGGTCGATACACACGCCAGAAAGTGTAGTTACACAACGTTTTGTTCACGTCGACGCGTTCCTGCAACATCCCCACCTTTCACCCAAAATGCACCGCGTAAACACTACATCACGTATTATGTTGGAGGTCAATTGCTAGCCGTGGTCAAGGAAACATCTAATATCGATGCTGTCTCTCTTTCCGAGCTCATTACGGGTATTTTTGTTCTTTTAAATCACTTTACTTATTTCCTATAAACCTTAATTCAGATTGATCCTGATGTAATAAGTATACATCGCCTGAAGCCCATAGGCCTGATATATTATCGCTTAGGCATGACGATAATGTACAGTTTTCCCGGTTATTCCACAATGAAAATAATTGTCATGTCCTACTATCACAGCGTACTTGGCGATACCTGTATCCATTATTTCAATCATATATCTTGAAAGCAGTTGTTTCAAGAACTATTCAACTTTTAATTTCGTGAGATTTTAGATATTCAATATTAATAATATTATTATTAAAATTCCAAGATGGCGGCTGTAAGGAGTAGGCAGGCAGAAAATCGCCACAGTCGCTATCTCAATCTGTTTTGTTCCTTTTTTGATTGCACTCACTACAGAATAAAAACACCATCAGATCAACAGAGTTTGCCGAATCCTCTTTGCCTACTTTACTGACTCTAATGACACCAAGTGTCGCAAAATGAAACATTTTTATTCTAATATTGACCACAACTATGGGGGGGGGCGGGTGTCGAGTCATGCACAGTCTTCATAGACAGCTTCAAAAAAGCCAGTGGAGTTCTGATTACGCTGGTAATTGAGGAGATCCTATAGACCCAGGCTATCTCCCTGTATGAAGTACACTGCCATATCCATTTTGTAACTCCTTACCTAGCTTCGTATAGCATCTTAAACCTGCTCTCTTACAGTAATTAGAACAAACTCCTTTTCCGCCATACTTTCGCGTACTTAAGCCCAGTGACTGCAGTCAGAGTTATGTTAGATTATTTGCCTCATCAACGCCTCTGTTCTGTCAGGTTCAGGAAATCCACGAATTTTTATTTCTTCTGCGTTTCTTTTTTCACCTTTTGACATTTTGTTTAGGGCAGTGGTGACTATTTGATAAGGGGGCATGACCCCCTTCTCCAGGCCTGTTTCCCTTCGCCGCTCAGGAATTATTGTAGGAGAAAAACAATCTGATGCAGTCCGCCTTGGTGTAGTGTTTTACCTGTCACTTTAAGAAAACTAGGTAGCGCAGATCCTACCGTGCCCCCTTCACCCGAAAGCTGGGCCTCCAGTAAGCCTACCCCCTGCAAAGTTGTACCCTAGTTACTCCAGTGGATGTGTGTTTTGTTAAAGTGAATTATCCCTTCATATTCCACAGTTAACAATGCAGCGGTGAATGGCATTGATGATCCTTTCTTCGCCAAACCGCTGGGCTCCCTTGACCAAGCTCAGGCCATGATGGATGTCAATTTTTGGGGCCCGGCACAAGTTATAAAAGCAGTGCTACCATTCATGCAGGAACAGAAATCCGGTCTTATCATCAACACTACCAGTGAATCTGGAAAAACAGGTAAAAGTGCATGAATTGCCTAACCACCAACATCACGTGAGAGTGATATGGTATGCTCTCGTTATGAAAATCCCCAAGTTCACCGACTGCGCTGTATCAACCAACCTACGAGCTATGTCTTATTCTTTATGATGACCATCGCACCACTAGAATACCAACTGAGTAACTTATTGATCCAAATTGCCCAGTATCTTTCAACTTAACAAACTTTATCACTCCTCCTGTACTCAGTAACTATCAACCTATTGACAACTGAACTCAGCCCAACAACTGACTGGTATCTGCAACTGCAAGAGCGGATCCAAGATTTTGTGTTGGTGGAGTTTCGGACATTTTTGTTTGGGTGGGGGTTACTACACGCAGTTGTCAGCGTTGGTGAAGCCATTTAAAGGGGATGGGCCGTGCAGGGGAGAATTCTTGTAAAACATGCATCAACACATAAAACAAACACATACATAATATATTCCTTATAACAAAAAAACACATCTGCATAATTTCATAATGCGCGGAACTTTGTTAAAAATGATAACTTTTATGATCCTATTTCACTCCCTGAGCAAAAGCTAAACAACAGCCGTCGGGTACAGAAAGTTGTCTGAAGAAATTCCCAATAATCGTAACGTCATTGGACAGAGTCCTTTATCCGTCGACTCTTTAATGTCGCGCAACATGTACATAATGTAGGCCTAGTAACGTTAGCGTTAGCGTGTACCATCATGTCAGACTCAGGCGACGATAATTCAAGCGCTGATACTTTTTCCGATCAAAGCGATCAGTTGTCATGTTCGTCTAATTTATTTGACGAAGAAAGCGACATTGAAGGAGCTGATGAGGCACAAGAAATATCGCCTTATCAGTTCGAACCAGAATCAAATACACTCCGGAAGAGATTTTGCAACTCGAGGCTGTTGGCCACGGGCATAGTGGCGACCCTGAGGATTGATAACCAAACACTGACTGGTCATGATTTTTTCCTGCACCATTATAAAATTTTTCGAAAATTTTTTGAAAAGAGTAATTGTCCTGCCATTGGCTATTCGATAGCTATATAGCATAGGTAGTTTTTGTCCATGGTTATAGGATAGCCGACTTTGTTAAAGGTGGTGTTCCATTTTTTTTTTCACCGTGCGCTACGAGTCATTTGCCTAGCATCAACTCGTCGTGCGACGACCTTGCGGCGTTAATCGCACCAGAAAAGAGTCCACGTGTGTCGGAGAGTGCAATATACATGTACATCGTACGCGTCATACATACATGTACTGTATAGGGATGCACATGTACATGTACAGTACGTGTCAGCACTGGTACGTGTACATAATTATGCACATGTATTTTGGAATTTTGAGCCCTCGTAAAAATCTGACGGTTTATTATTTTTGGGAAAACGCTGATGTAAAAAATTGCTTGGGAATCTACAAAAACCGCTCTCCGGGGAATTGTTTTGATGACGACAACAGCCAACGACAACACAGTTTATCGGCATTCTTTCGAAATTCACAAATACAGCATGGTTTGAGGGAAAGTAGTGGGCATTACTGGTCCCGAGGTGTAGGTCAGCTTGACTACCTCCCGACGCGAAATTTTCCCGAAATAAACCATGCTGTATTTGTTTTACTGCACTTCATAAATATTCAAACAGAAATCCCACGTTACTTGTACTCACAGACGCCATTGTTGTTTCTCAGCTGCTAAATTTCCATTTAATGATAGTGGAGAGCAGATGTGCATAGAAACAGGGTTTCAATAGTCTGGTGCTGACATACTTTTTGGGTCTTTACTGATATAGTTATTGTTATACAGCTCCAGACTGGTTCTGTGAAGATTACATGACACAGACTACATATTTACGTGGCGGGTTCCAGAGGGATTTTTTGATGCTATCAGAAAAAAACTACCGCACGGCAGCGAGGTGGATACTCATCGCTATAACGTCACCTGGCGTATCATTTTTACCTCCCAGACGCAAGGTGGAATCGGCCAATGATGCTCTCCGATTTGCTCTGAATATTTATGAGGTGTAGTAAAAATTATTACACGTGTAGGGCGCGATGCAAAACAAGTTAGTTGTCCAATAGCTCTGCCCCGTGTTAAGAGAAGGGCAAAGGAAACAAGACCAAACGTGGTTGACTTGACACGTACGAGTTCGTACCCGAGGCTACGTGCCAGAACAGAGAATATCATTCTTGCGCGGACCGATCAAGTTTCATGCCAGAACTATGCATTATTGTCTGGAAAGTCGAGTCCGTCCAACATAGGCATTTAGGGGTCTTTCAATCTGAGACGTATATAGGTTCCTACAAGGAAAACAAAAATGGCAATTGGCGGGCCCTAGATTGACCCCCTCCACCTCTTCTGGATCCGCACTTGATCTTTTGAATCATCAATCAAGTCATCCATTAAGCTCCCCAGTGCCTTCCAGCCTCCCTGCTAAACCCCGTCAACTGTGCAGTCCAGCATTACTCTCGTCCACCGATCTTTCTACCAAGCTGCCGGTCATTTCGCCCATTTAACCCTGCGAAATTAATCCGTCCCTCAACGACTCCCATCCTCGATGAAAAAAAAAACCGATCCATAAAAGAAGTTGATTATTGGCCAATAAATCTTTCGTACAGTATGCCGCCTAGAGCTACCCGTGCGATTTCTCAAAAGCTCATCCACAATCTCTACAGGCCTAACCAAGAACTTCACCATAGTGGTTCCACCAAACAACCCACTGCACCCCTCCTGTCTGTGTTGTTACCTGATCTTTGTACATTCTTAAACAATCCCGCAGAGTTTTACTTTTTCCAAAATCATCTGTTTGGATAACAAGCTACAATGATGAAATCTTAGATCTTTTTTCTCGATCTCATAGAATCGCCTTTTATAGGCCTTTACGCAGCAACTAAGTGTGCTTTGGAAGGGCTTTCCGAGAGCCTCGCTTTGGTTCTTCGCAAGGCTTACAATATCAGGTACGATTTTTTACTTTGTTTCATTCACCATGGCTCTGTATCTAAAGACTCGGAGTTGGGTAGTTGTTTCCCCATTAAGGCTAAATGAATATCATCCGAAGAAAGGGTAATGTGGTCCTGACATTGGCATTGTATTGTACACATTTTGCTTTGTTCTGGGTTTTTATCTTTACTTTTCTGAAAAAAATCTGAACAAATTCATTCGAGCTGAATAGCGAAGGTGACGATGTACAGCTGTGCACGTAATGTGTTGCTCAACTTGACTCCAAAGTAACAAATGCATACGCACGAAGCTTCAGGAACACAACTTCCGCTTCGCCGGGATAATCGTCTAGCCAGTACAATTTCGTTTTATTACAGAGTCGTTATACTTGAGCCTGGAACCTTCACCTCACCTATGGTGGTATATTCTTTGAGCCCCGAATTCCAACCAGAGTTCTTGACCACAAAATGGGAGGAGTCCGCCAAGGGGATGTTCTCTGAGTTCTGGCACAGGGACATGCGCCGCCTCATGATGGAAAACCAGGCGCCTGAGGAGGTAGCTCGCGTGGTGGAGGAGATCATCCTGTGTGATGAGCCACACCTTCGCTACCAGTCTGGCCCGATCATTACCCAGCGACTGGCCAGAAAATTGCGAGATCCCACCGGCGATTCTGCGTTCAAAGCATTCCAGTCAATGGAGTAGAGCCTCACTGTCACCATGCATACTTAGACCGCTCCCTACCGACACAGTATTGATTTATGGTGAATCGGGGAGTGGGGTGACGAGATAAGGGAAACACGTGAGACATTTCAAAGGAAGCTTTTTTCTAGAAGAAAGGATGAGAAACTTAAAGATTGTGCCATCAGGTGTCATGTGACACATGGAAATTTCACATTTTCTTGAGTTGAAACAATACATTTCACAACTTCCTTCTCGCACGTTTCTCTCTTTCTCGAGTTGAAGCTGTAGCATTCGATGGTTTAACTCAAAAGATAAAACGGTAAACCCTAAAATAAAGGTACAAGTGCTTTATGTAGTTTGATTGTAAATCTCATCACCAGTTTGTTGTTAATTTCCAAAAGGATAAGGACAATTTGTATTTCTTTAGATGCATTTCTCTACATCAGATAACAGTGGCGTAAATGTGTGCCGATGATGGGGGGGGGATGACTTTGCACGGCCTTGTAAATTTCCAAGTGTGTGGGGGGAACCATATGACACTATTTAGGGGGCGATAATTATGATATCTGTAATATGTATTACATTAATGCACAGTCTTACATCAGAATGGCTTACTTTTGGCTTTATCAAATTATATTCCCTTTAGTGATATTGAATACATTAATTGAGTCATTGGGATGTCCGAACAATTTTTCATGATCCACTTAATTTTTTTATTGCTCACCACAAAAAATGGTTGATAATTTAATAGCCCACCCCCTTAAAAATTGGGGGATATATGTCCCTATCCCCTAGGATTTATGCCCAGTGAATATGGCAATGTGAAATGATGACCAACTTTCTAATGGTACACTGTACAATGATTTTTTACTGTGTGACCATTGAACTTGTATAGATCATATACCTGTTGAAGCCTCTTCGTTTTCTGACTCAATCTAAGAGACAATTTTGTTTTTCTGCTTTTAGAGATGCTGGACTGGGACATAGAGAACGTTTCATTATCTTGAGGGTGGCATTCAAAGGAATATAATATAACCGACTCAGCCGAATAAAATAAAAATTTGTGCCAACATATCTCGTCATTATTCGTCTCTTAAATTAAATGCCACAAGTGCATGACCCTTTCGGCCGCTTAAGTATAAGCCACGTTTTTAGTAGTCAAAAGCAGTTTCCAAAACGCTCAATCAACTTTTCTGCTTCACTGGCAGCAGAAATTCATTTGCTCATCTTTTCGACCACCTTCAAGCACGCTTCGAGTTAACCTCGGTTGGCATATGCTTTCCGGTCTATTTATAGCCGATGGCCACAAGATTTGAAGGACCCGCCACTTGCTATGGTATAGTTTTGGTTCCAAGACCCTTTGGTTGTTCAGGGACTCGAACATCACACGTAATCTACATACACGTATGTGCACATGTACAGGGCGCTATCACCTCACGAACGTGTGACGATAGCTCCCTCTAACAGTGGCGATAGCTCCCTCTAACAGTGTACGTGTTGGGTTCGTGTCGCGGAATAACTACTAGATATACACCCCTTTTTCACAGTCTGACACAGAAACAATGCTGAGTGGTTGAGAATGTTCCAAAAATCTCCATTTTTGAAAATAAATTGAAAAAAAAAGTCCACTGGCTGTGCTATGGGGAGTAAATAATCAAGGTCAGCCAATAGCAAATGTGCACAAACTGCCTGTACATACACTGTACATGTACACTTCTACTATAGTGCGAACAGAATGTGCAATCAGCATTTGAAAATTGAACTTTTCCACGTGAATAGCTTCAACTAGCATGTCCTACTGATAAGGAAGGGCTACCCCTTTGGCCATCAGCAGAGATCAAATACAAGAAAATTATGAAACTTCAGCCATGCTTTGACATGAAAGCTCTTTGTAGAATTTACTCCTGTTGACACGCTCCAGCCCAAGAGTTGAAAACCTGAGCCCAAAATAGGGCACTTCCAAGACAAGAGTGGAACAAACCACCAAGGAGAGTGTTACGAGAACTTTCAGTCACCTGCGCATATATCCACAGCTTGGTCAGTTGGTGCGCGGGCTGTACTTGACCATCAAGGAAGTACCCCCACCCTTGCTTAGGGCCCTGTTAGGGTTACCCTTCATAATTAGGGTTGGCCTCCGTTAGAGTTAGCCGTCATTAGGGTTGGCCTCCGTTAGGATTAAGCTCGGTTAGGGTTGGCCCATCAGTGACCGAAGGCCCAGCAGTGACCGAAGGACTTGATGGAAACCATCAAGTCCTTCGGTCACTGCTGATTTCTTGAAAATTACACACAAAACAGCACGAACAGTGACAGAGTTCATTGTTTTTCAGAATTTCCATATGATTGCATGGGTATTTACCAGTGGAGCGTTGCTGCCAACAATCAAATGTTTCTCATGTCTCGTAATTCATACAACTGCAATCCCTGGCTTATTCCAGTCTTTCCACGACTGGTATAACTAACGCAAACGTGAGAAATGATTTTCAATCCAGCCGCCATGACATCCTGGACGCCGCCATCTTGGCAATATAGGGTGCACTGAACCAATTCAAGCTCCATTGAAAATAGTGTACAATCAACCAAGTTTGGAGCCCCATGGCAGGCAACTGAAGTCCCTGAGGCTTCTCAAACAAAAAACAATGTGCTGTTTGGTCCTTCAGGTTTCATTTGATTTTCAATTTTTAGTAGGCTAACCAATGAATTTTTTAATTATCCGCCCTAAACAAACTCACCCCCCAAAAAGTGAATGTTGCCAAGCTCTCCCAGCGGCCATTTTTCAAATGACATCCCTCACCTTCCTGGGGCTCTTCTGACTAATTTTCAATCCCATTTTGGTCTGCTTTGCCCCCAGGTGGGTGCCCCTGAATCTACAGAGGTGATCCTGGGCCATACTGACACAATCCCACCATTTCTTGGCCCAAACAGACCCCTCTTTTCGAAACAATCTCTGGAGGTACTTTTTGTGCGCCTCAAGCTGGCGGAGAATTTTCCTTGAATTGGGACACTGCACACTAGAAGGTCTTGGAACAAAGACTAGGTATGGTGGCGCTACAACCGTACAGCAGGGGCACATATGCTGCAGTAGAGTGTGTAGGTCGACGTGCTCCTCCCGATTTACCTCTGATCGTCGGAGATTCAATGTAAATAATAAAAGTCGTAGAAACCGAGATTTTGACCTTGATTTAAATCGGTTGAGCGGTGTATGCAGTGAGTACCGTTAGGGTGACTCGATGTCAGATGATACCATGGCAGGGAGAAGGGAAGGAGATACGAACGCGCTTGCTGATCGGGAAAAGGTGGGACCGCTAACTTTAAAATACTGAACTCTTCTTCGGTGAAGCTCTTGCAGTGATTAACTTAATTTCGTCAAACACTGATAAAGTTTATAAAAAGTTAACTGCAAATTGACGGTAAAACGTGAGGTCTCAAATTATCAAAATCCTACGTCAATTTGCGTTGTCAGGAAGTAGACCTATAATTGGGTGTCGGCACCAGTGGGGAAAACACGTAGAACATTTGTTCAAAAACGAAGAACTGTGCCTTTAACCTTTAAATTTCACCGTACCTTTCTTTGAGTAATGTTGAACTGCGTTTTTTTTTTGCTCGAGCACCACTTCAGCTTAGTAGTTTAACTACGATGTTCTTTTCAGGCCAAATTACGCTGCGTGGTGAGAGTTGTTGCACTTCGCGGTAAAAGTAGTTTCACTGCGGAATGAGAGTTGTTTCACTGCGCGAGGGTAGAAACTGAAATAAAAAAAGAACGAAAGGAAAATTCTAAGATCAACAGTACATTTATGACCTTTAAAGTAAATTTTTAGGTTCATATCACCGTCTGCCCGAGTCTTTACATTTTTATTTATCTCTCTCTCTATAAAAAAATTCCAGACAAAAACCTTGTTAAATTGAAAAGAAAAATGTCCCAGTGGTCGTAGATTTGAATTTTCAGTAAAAAAGGAGGTCATAATATTCCTGGGCGTCACCAGACGCCGCAATTACTCTTGGATTTTGCGCTGTTATCTGTGGGTGCATATTAGTGTAGTGCAATCACAGACATAAATAACCTATAGACCGGCAACATCGGGCGCCAGAGTGTAATTTTACGGACGACGCCATTTTCAAAACCCATGGGCTTTGGACATGCGCAATACAAACACAACCACCGTGTTTGTTTTCATACGTATGATTGGGCATTGCAGACGTATAGTCGCAGATGTCATGATTTGTATACTGAACGAGGCTGTCCGGCCAAATTGTCAAAGAAGAACCGCTACCGATAGAGGTATTTTAAAGTATTATCAATATTATGTATTTCAACGGGTAAAACCAAACTGAAAGCACAATGACTAAATTTGTAAGCTTTCAATTAAATTTGAGTAGTTTTATTCGGCATTTTTTAGAATTATCTGAGGGCAATCAGCAAACATGTGGCATGAGCGTAGGCCATTCATGCCAATGTTAATTCTAGTCTCCAGTTTTTCCGTAAGCTGAGCCCTTATTTATAGCAACATTTGCCCTCTATTTCAACGTAAAGCAATGGAAGCATTGTTCCAAAATGACATACTGACCCTAAACACTCTCCTTTGTCATGTTTGCACATGAACATCTCACCATGCTCATGGTCCATCCGTGTGGTGTTAGGCCACTGTTATAGTTATACCATAGAGGAAGGAAGACAGGTTACACGTCTGCATGTGTAATTTATAAGCTAGCTCAGTTTACAGTGATTCTTCACCCACTTCCTGAAATGCCAGAGAATGTTTGTACTTAAGCATTGTAATGAGTAGGGCGCTTAATTATCCTGAAGAAATGGTAGTACTGGAAATATTTGAATGAAAAAAGTGAAACATGGGCCTACAGTACAGCGGCTTAATGAGGTCGGAAAATAGTCTGAAAGTGAACTCTTAATTCAGCTGTAAAATATTCTGATTCACTTCATTTGTAGCATTTTTTATTTGTATGCATGTAAATGCTAGTATTCCAGTAATTTTGCATAAGCAGAGTTATTCTGATAGTACATGTACAGATAACTTGATGCCAATTTCTGTTTGAAAATCGATGTTCACAATTTGCAGAATTCGGAGATTAGCCATGGCTCAAACGCCTGGCATGGGGATGCTCTTTTGATGAAAAAAGGACCTCACCAGAATGAGAATAGTGATAGTGAGTGTATTTATAACACATTAGTTTCCATTTGGTTATGCCACCTTACATTTAAAAGAACAGAGTGTTCATGTTTAGAAATTATATCTAAATGTACATGCAAGATCATGAGATGATTATATAAAACTAATTTTATAGGACACGCAGCAGTCACACAGTTGTGTTTACTCCATTAACACTAAGACCAATGAAAATGCCCTACAAAATGAGAATACTGAGCTGAATAGAGTTCTTTGCTACGTGTTTAAAAGAATCTCTGCATCATAATGTGAGCTTCAAATGAAATTGTCAGTAAATAGAAAACACTGTTTGCTTTAATTTGATACCCTTTCTGATTAATACTTTGGGAGAAGATGAATTCATGGGTTGCATATTGCAAGACATGCTGTATAAAATTGTATGCAAGTTAAGAATAATCCCCTGGCTTTGTGGCCATGTGCAAAGTTATAATACATGTAACATGAATTATGTTGTCTCAAACATTCGTACTGTAAATGTACAAGTGAAGAAATTTAGGGTATTTCCCTTCTCTGTGGCAAAACATGATTATTTTAAATACTTCAGACTTTGCAGAGCTCTAAGCTCTAAGCTGCGTGCTGTCTATTACTAGAGCAGGAACCTGTTTAAAAAGGTCTCATTGAAGTTGATCATTAATACAACGACTCTGGAATGGTGAAGAGGTTGAACAAGCGCACGTGCGCGACCGTGGCGACTAGGTCAGCTCGTCATGCACGTTGCTCTAAATTCAATCATTCATTGTGCAAAGACCGAATTATTTTCTGGAAAAAAAAATAAATACGTAGCTGCAGTGGAGCTCATAAATAAATTCCGGACAGGGTTTTCAGTCGCCGTCAGGGCATTTTCATCCAAAATTTCTGATTTGTATCACTCATTCCGAGATTTCTCCATAGGCTTGTGCACACTTCTGAACTACTTCCGCCCAAAGTTTCATGTTAAGTTGGGCACCGTCTTCATTACGGTATCCAGACGTTGATTTAAATAGGCGCTGTCGATGTATGGGTTATTTATGTCTATAGGGCAACCTTAACAACACTAAGCGTCGCTGAAAAACATTCACTGCACTGCCAAACAACTGTGACGTGCAGAGGGCACCAGTCACTAGGCGCGGTGCGAAGTTACAGATGGCGCTCTGCCCTGTACTAAGGGCAGATGTTAGGCGCGAATAGCTGTGTGCTAAGCACGCACTGCGCGTAGGCTCCGCCTTGCGCGTAGGGCGATTGGTTAACGGAAGTCACTGTCTGGTTTTTGTAACATTGCGCCCTTTCAAAGCGTATGTTTGTGTATTTTCACGGGAACTTCGTGTGCGGCGTGTATCATGCAGAAATAAAGTAACAATGTATATTGTACACACATACACACAATGATAAATGTCCAAAGCTCGCATATTTTTTCACGGCCCGTCCATGGACCACGTACGCGCCTGGGAAACACCAAAACTGAGGTTTTTTGTCTTTTCCATTTTCAGTTATCTTTTAATAGAAGAGATTCTTTCAAATGGGCAGATATTGGATACATGTCCGACCGTTGGAGCATTTTTTGGCTTATTAATCAGA